TGCAGGCAAAATGTAAACGTAGAAACTAGCCGCCTGGAATAGGAAGGCTCTGACTGTGTCCGTAGACCATGGAGCGTGGCGGAGAGGCGTAATGTGAGCCACGAGTCAATGTGGGTCAATGTAGGACTGTGACACTGCTATTAGAACTAGGTCATTCACATGTTACCATACCCACCTGTCCACATTCTCCAGTGTCCATATCATTATCACATGCCCATCACTTGGCCTTGTGCCAACCGGTCCCACAGTGTTTCCTTGGTTTCAGTTCGTATCAAGAGAGTTCCACCTCATATTCAGGCTCAGATCATTGAATACCATCAAGGTATCTGCTCTTGACTGTAATTTGAACTATTCCGTTTTTAAAAACAGGCAAGGTTTATGTGTTATTCATATAAACATATGGCACACTATGCAACAGGACATGATAGAGCAGCTAAAAATCATAATATCACAGCAGATCATTATTTGAAAATGTTGATGAAACTTGGCTGAGATGTACAGCGAACAATTTGGAAAGTGCATTAGATAATTACAACCTCTTCAGAATGGACAGGAATTCAAGAGGTGGAAGAGTAGTCATATACGCCAGGTTCTATTTTTTTGAGTATGGGTTTTAATACATTTATATGTCAAAGATATGCACAGAATTTAAAATGCATACTGCTCAAATCTGTTCCTGTGATTGTAGTGTTCAGTCCTCCTGTTGCTCCTCTGTTGTTGGTGTTTCAGCTGATCTTTATCTCCTTTTAAAATCTTCAAGTTTATTATTGGAATTTAGTGACTACTTTTAATTTAATTCAAATTGGCAGAAGCCAGTAATTTAAATCTCTTAAAATGAATTATAGACCCTACCAGGCTAAACATTGAAACATCAAAATCATAATTGTTTGATTTAATTTGAATGAACTGACAGAAATAATCATTGTTTCTTGAGTATTTGAGAATGACTCTGATCATTGTCAAGTGATTTTCATTAGAAAGTGATAAAGTTCTGAACACTCATGTGACTATCCATCATTTCCAGCACTACAATGACCAGACCTTTTTCAGTGAACTTTTACTAAGTGAAAATCTTGATACTGTTCTTATCATGGATGTTGTACTAGTTCTGGACAAATTTGCAGGTCATTTAAACCAGGAATGGAAAACCATGCAAAAACTAAAGAACACCAAGCAAATGAAGTCACTGGTTCCTCGACAAAAATTTACCTTCTACTTAAAGAAAGAGGGTTCTTACCAGATGTACATGGGATCCTGGTCAGTGGCTTACTTTTAGCCAACTCAGATACAAACATAGTCGTTTACTCATACTTGTAAAGACCATGTATATCATGGCGGTCTTAAGTTTCCAGTGACTCTTAGAACTCTTCATTTTGCCTGATGGAATGATTGGAACACATGCATCTTTGTCACAAAAAAAAAACCAATCATGCCTTTTGGTTCTTTCATAGATTTATTACAGGTATTCTGGAAATATGACAAAATCTGATGGCTCAAAAAATACATACAATAACTTGAAGTATCAGTTTTGGTGATGTAGAAAGTTGGGTTAATCACATTTTCTTAGTGGCATTACCTCTTGCCGCTTTGTGAGTGATTAAAACTGACTACAGATGCTGAGCAAATTCAAATAGGGCCCATTTGTTAAACTCATTAGAGTCTGCCACAAACACTACAATGGGAAAGTCTAAAGAGCCAAGTATGGATCTGAGGAAGCAATTCATTGACTTTAACAAATTAGGAAAGTCACTTGGAGTCCTTTCAAAGATGCTTCAGATCCCAAACTCAACTGTACAAACTACTGTAAGTATAAAGTGCATGGCAGTTGTGTCACTGCCAGAATCAGGAAGAAAATGCCAGCTGTCACATGCTGCTGATAAACAATTTGTCAGAATTGTCAAGAGTCAATCAAGAATCATCAAAAAGCAGGTCTTTAATGAATTAGAAGTTGTTTTACATCTTCATAGGCTGAGACGCTGCCATGCAAGAAGGAAGCCCTACCTCCAGAACACCACCTTGAAGCCCAGCTGATGTTTGTTGGGGATCAAACAGAAAAAATATGGTCTTCTAGAAGGTTTTGGGGTGGAATGACACACACAAAAAAATGGCCCCAGTGACCAGCAATATGTTTGGAGGTGAAAAGGTGAGGCCTTTAACTCCAAGAACACCAAACCTACTGTCACAGCATGGTGGTGGTAGTATTATGCTCTCTAGCTGCTTTGCTGCCAGTGGAACGGAATAATGAAAAAGGGATTATCTCCACATTCTTCAGGTTGGGTCTTAGACACAGTTGGGTGCCCCAACAAGACAATGACCCCAAGCACACATCCAAAGTGGTAAAAAAGTAGCTACATCAGACTAGAAGCCAGGTTTCAGACTGGACTTCCCAAAGTCTTGACTCAAACCCCATCGAGAATCAGTGGACTGTGTCCAGAAACAAGTCTGTGTCAGAAAGCCAACAAATTTGGTTGAACTACATCGATTCTGTCAAGAGGGCAGTCAAAGATTCAAAGAGTCTGCTTAGTGTGGATGGTCTTCATCCCTTCTTTTGAATGTTGGTCACTTCAATTGTAGTTAGCTACAACTTGTTTTTTTAACCTTTTGGTTTTCCATGGTACACTTCTTAGAGTCTGGAAGGCTGCTTATGTAAGCCCTTTACATAAAGGAGGTGGAACATCTAACCTCCACAGCTACAGGCCCACCTCATCTAAAGAAATTTTCTGTAAAAAGTAGGGACGACACTCTTGACAGGTTGGACCTAGTGATGGTTCCGCATCACTATCAACGTGGCATAACTTTAAACTTCACCCAGTCACATTAATGGAAAGGCATACACTGCAAGTTGTGTACAGTGATTTACAACATCACATTACAGCAACACAAAGAGCACACAGTCTGTCAACAATTAAAACACACCTTACCCATTCATTTTGCTCTTTCAAGTCAGACTTACATGTCCTTAAAAATAAAAACTTACTGCAATAAAAACAGACAATAACAGCTTAAACTTATGACACTCACCAATAATGAATGTAATTTGATTTTTCCCCCCACAAAACATTAACAGGAGCTTAAGTTTAGTCTGTTGCTTCCAGCTACTGAAATACCTGCAGCCACAAACAGCAGCAGGATTCATATGGAGCATGGGGCCTGGTTTTCACACACACAGGGCTTACACTCTAGATAAACGTCATTAAAACTGTTTTCAGCCACTTTTTAATATATGCTGCACAGCTGGAGTTTGCGCTATTTAACAACAAAGTGAGGAGACTACAATATAAAAGCTGCTAGCAAACTGGTGTACTGACAGGCCTTGGAGTGCATGTGAAAGGTCAAACAAAAAGACATAAACATCAATTAAAAAGCTTATTCTACAGAACTGTAAATGAAATAATTCAACAACAGTAATAAATAAAGAGCTTTAGGACAATTAGATTCAACCATATCAGCCGGTCTACTGTCTTACCAACATTCAAGTTCTGTCACATTTTAATTATAAACTCTACATGGAAACCACTTCCTCATAGGAGAGGCCACAACAACAGCTCATTAACTCTGACATCCAGTGCAAACCTACAAAATGTTTGCAGTCCAGTTCAAAAGAACAAAAACAAATACATTTTTTATTAAATTAAACCCCATATATACAAAAAACTGAACAAACTGATATTGATGAAATCTAAGCTGGTACGTGTTCTATTTGAGCAAAGAATAAGCAAACAAACAAAAACAACAGGAACTTTCCCGCCTAGGATACAGAGCAGCATCAGTCCCAGCTTTTAGCCGTCTGACCTACATACGGGAGCTATCTATTAGTCTCATCTAGAATCACATTTAGCAGATCAATATCAATTTACATGTTTAGCACAGAACGAGTTGGAATAGCACCAAGACTGGCTGCTAGCCTCGCTCTGTCAAATTATAGAATACACCCTGCAACAACCCCGACTCTTTTCATTTGGCATGCTGCATTTCATTTACTGAAAAGGTGTAGCAGTGAAAGTTTGGACCATTTGTTCCGACGACAACAACAGCTTGGTAGGGGTTTCTCTTGCTACTCTACCATAAGAAATATAGGGCACTGCTGAATTGGGCTACTAGGCCTTACACAAAAAGGCAATCTGGAATTTCCTGAACAAAACCATAGCTTAAAAAAGGAATTAACATTTGAAAGAAATGTACAATAAGGAAAATTGGAATTTTGAAATATAAGCAGACTGGGTTAAAAACACTGATCTGAAAGAGTGGAGGTAACTCATCTAGTTAAGTGATGAACCAACAGAATGAAGATGGTGTTGCTCCACGAGGGGTTTTCTTTCATCACTTCTAACTTGCAGTATCCTCTCAGCACCCTCCTCCCTCCCGTCCTCTCTCCATGTGACATCAGCACCACTCCTTTCGGGTCAGTTACATTTGTTTCCATCCATTACTGGATGACTCCATCCAGGTGTTGATTGCAGCATGTTGTTTCTTTTTAGGTACCTCTTTAAAGCAGAAGATGAGGTGGCTGGATAGAACCCAAGGCTGCTCTGGGTTCAGAAGCCATCCAAGCAAAACTACAAGGCTTAAATGTTTGTATCCTTAGCATGTGCCTCCACTCCAGGCCATCTGAGAGGAGAAACAGAGTGAGAACAGTTAAGAATCACCAGAACTGTAACAGGGTACACAATCAGCTAGTTTGTAACACACAGGCACCGGTTCTGTGTAGTTCTTGTTCTGACCTTACTCTAAAAAATATTCTTAGGATCAGTTTCTTCGCATCAGTGTTAAAGAGGGACCTTATCCATTAAATAGGGCTTGCACTGTGCTGACGGTTATTTGAAATACCCTTCGTTACAAGCAGAAGGACCAAACAACATCTTCTGATTGGCTCTACGGTCGTTAAGTGCAAACTCTGTCACTGGGTGTTTTGTTCTCATGTTGCACAGTTCCTTGAAAGAATTGCTCTCACTAGCCTTTCATCAAAAACTTGTGTAAGATGTTGATCATTAAGAGTAGGAGTACACACTGTACTATTAGGGAGTCTGACTAGCAATAAGGCAATACTGTCCAAAGTAGAAATACTCATCTAAGCTATCACCAGCCACCTCACAGTGGAACATCAGAAGTATAGAGCAGCAATACACCCGCTATGTTAGCTAACGTACAAGAAAGCAATGCTCATAGCCTCTAGTCACACCTGGTTAGCCATAGTGAATATAATTGTGCAGCTGCATGGCGAGCCTTGTATATGTATCTTCTAGGGCTTTGTTCTCGTGCACTTTCAAAAGAGTTTAGCCATGTTCAGAGCATAAATGATAGGATGTTTGAACCTGTTAAGCCCTCCGAGAGAAGAGGCAAAACCCATGTTTAACAGATGAAATACTATTGTGCTCCACAATATTCTATACAGTCCACACTTGAAAGAATCATGTATATTATCACACACAGTTGACTCCTACAACTCTTTATTTTTTATGACGGAATGATTGAAATATGTGTCTTTGTTACAACAAACAATTATAGATTTGGGTTCTTTTGTAGATTTATAAGAAAAAGAAGGAGCCTTAATTGTCACAAATACATTACAGCATTGTGAAATTCTCTTTTCACATATCCCAGCTGTGGTCAGAGCAGGCAGGATGAGCCATGGTAGGATTAAGGGTCTTGGTCAAGGGCCCAACAATGGCAGCACTAAACCTCCAACCTTCCAATCAGTAGCCCAACGTCTTACCTCTTTGGCCACCACTACCATTATTACAATTCTTTTGGAAATATGACTAACTCCAGAGGGTCAAAAGTATACATACAGCAATTTTAATGTTTGGTTGAATGTCCTTTGACCACTTGCACCTCAGTTAGGTTCTCTTGGTAGCCAGCCACAAGTTTCCCGCAAGCTTTTGGTTGGATCTTTGACCAGTTCTTTTGACACAATTGGTGCAGTTTAAATAAATTTGTTGGCTTTCTGACGCAGACTTGTTTCTTCAGCACAGTCCACAGATTGTTAATGGGGTTTCAGGCAGGACTTTGGGAAGACCAGTCTTAAACCATAATTGTAGCCTTATTTACCACTTTGGAAGTGTGTTTGGGGTCATTTGTCTTGTTGGAAAACCCAACTGATGATTTTAGGTTTTTTTCTGAAGAATGTGGAGGTAATTCTCCTTTTTAATTATTGCATTTACTTTGTGTAAAGCACCAGTTACACTGGCAGCAAAACAACCCCAGAGCAGAATACTGCCACCACTATGCCTGACGGTAGGTTCGGCGTTCTTGAGGTTAAAGGTCTCAACTTCTCCACTCCAAACACATTGCTGGTTATTGTGGCCAAATAGCTTGTTTTTGTTTCATCTGTAGTATACTAAGAAGCAGAACAGTTTATTGTTGGATGAATTTCAAAACACCACAAATAAAATTCAGAGACCCTTTCTCAAAGCTGTAACTTTGGTAGGGGACAATTTGAGAAGACAGCTAACCCAAAACTTTCATCCAAATGGGATATTACAACAATGGAAGTCTGATGTTTGAAATGACCATTTACGGCCCTCTTGGAGATAAGTGTTTGTGGAGGATGCACAGACACTATACAAACACTTCCTTTCTCTCTGTTGCAGCCATAAAAGACACAAGAGAGATTTATAAGATATGATAAAATGAGATAAAACTTTATTAATCCCGAAGGATATGAGTGAGGATATTGCTCAGACAAAACAAATGAAAAAACATAAAAAATGCTGTGCCTTAAAAGTAGACAGTAAAAAGCAATATCATGGGCATGCATACTTCTAATCTCTTATTTTTCTTGTTGTTGAATATATATGCTTGTACTCTTGGATATAGAAGAAGGTTGCTATAATGTATCTGGAAATTCTATAGTTTCTATGCATGTCTACATGTTTTGTATTATAAGTATAAGTTTGGCCTCTGACAGACAGTGAGTTTCAAGACGACCGCTTGGGATGAGCACATCCATGATTGGCTAGATGCTCATATGAATTTGGCTCCAAAGAACTTTGTGTGTTTAAAAAAGTCAATTTTCTTTGTTTTGCCAAAATTGAGGCTTTTTCACTGTTTTTGGGAGCATTTCCACTGATAAAAATGTGGGCTACTTGTTCCTTCATGATGGGTTTTATATATTTTTGTTTCTACTTTGATAGTCTTTCTTAAACTTTTCTTTGTGACCATGAGCTTTGCCGTTCTGTGTATTTGCTCCAGGACACATTTCCAACACAACAATGCAAATGTGCCGTCCTGTCTCTGCATTCCGGAATCAAGTAATCCAGCAGAACTTCCTTGCCACACCCTGCTGCAGCCTCTCTCTCTCCTACTGATGTTGAACGCTGATCCTGTAGCCTCAATATGTAAGCATAACTTTCCCTCTGCTAAATGGGTGAATTTAGAAATTACAAGTCGCTTCAGTACCAAAGTGATTCATAATTGATTGCTGCCTCCAGTGATGATCACAGTTAATTAATTAGTTTGTTCTTTAGTTTGCTTGTATAATTATTGCCAGCTCAAACATGTATTTCTTTGCTTGGGAACTGGAGGTCAATAAAATCAGAATTCACAACTTCTGATTATAGGATTGATCAGCACAAGCAGATTTGTTAAATTTTAATAATATTCAATCAATATCAATTTCCAGATTTTCAGATATGGTTGTGCCCTGAAAAACGAGTGCAACTTTATTCCTAAAAAGTAGTTTACTCTATACAAGTGCTACACATCTGACCACAGAACTTTTCTTTGATCAGCACCAAACTTCAGTCGAGCTTTGGGGTGCCGTTTCTAGAGAAAGGGCTTCCTTCTTGCATGGCAGCCTCTGCGTCCAAGGACGCTGACACCTATGTTCCAGTGGCTTCTAATTCATTGCAGACCTGCTCTTTGGTGTTTCTTGATGAACTCTTGACCATCCTGACCAATTGTCTCTTAGCAGCAGGTGATATTTTGCATTTTCTTCTTATACTTTAAGTTGCTGTATGTATATTTGTGACCCAGCAGATTTTTGTCATATTTCCTGAAGACTGTAACTTTACATCCGGACAAAAACAAAACTTTATTAAAATAGTGTCATGGGACACTGTTCAAGTATTAAAGCTGTTTGCCTACCTGCTGTGTGCCTCTTGGATTGGTTCCAGCACTAACACCTTACACTGTCTCTTGGCTATTTTTTCCAGTGGAATGAGGGTGGGGTCATTGGACAAGAAGAGGGCTCTGTGAACAGATCCTCCAAGTGGGGTCATGGCCTGACATTCCACTGCTTCGCCGGATCTGGAGCCAGCAGAGACACCATGTCATGAACATTATGCTAGACAGGAATGCATAGGACTGTCTGAAAATGCCTCTCCTGTCCTGTGCAAGCCCTGTATCTTAGATTAACACAATACTTTGACGCAGTTGCAGCCAGCTATACTCTCCGATAGATGAAAAAAAATCATATATATCCATTCAGAAGCCAGTAGTCTATCTAGAATGATTGTATTAATGTAGCATTAAAAACGAAACTTTAGTGTCTTATAATTGCAGTTTCAGACTGGCTTAAAGTTGTATCAGGTATGTCTACATGTGTCTTTCATGCACTATTTCTTGTCTTAACAGAAAGACATTAAAAGCAGCAAGTTGCTCCACACTGATCCGTCATACCTGAAGTAGCGTGGCCTGGAAGGTTGTTGGTGGGAAAAGCTTTGAGATCGGCTCAGGCCATGTCGCACTGGGCTGAATGATAATGGAGAACTCCTCGGTGATGACTGAAGCTCCATGGGCGAAGTGGACACAGAGGCTGTAAACTGCAGCTTTAGCTTCATATGCTGGCTCAACTACAGTGTTATCATGGAAGAGGAGAGAGATGGACAAGATGCAAGATAGTATGTAGCAGTTCTCTTTTTTTTCAACAATTGCTGCAGACACATACAATAGAGTTGAAAATCCATTTTTACAGTGTTCTTGTATAGTTTCGAAAGGTGTAACATAAAGCTTTGTAACCACTAAAGCGCTACCATTTCTCTAGCCTCCCCCACAACTAGATGGCCTCCCAGTTTCACAAGCCAGTAAGAATGTTTCCAGTGTCTATACACAAACTCAGTAAACAATAGTTGTCCATCTAAAAATTTGCATATTCATGCCTACTCTTGGCCTGCTTCTTCTGAGTTCATAATGAGTAGCTGCCTCACAGACTGCCAAGTCTATTTACTTGCTAGAGCCAATTCTGGTCAATCCAAAATGTCCCAGCCATGAGCAATGCACACCAATTATTTTGGTGTAGGCTGCAAAAACAAACACAAGTCTCCATGCATTTATCTGAGGAACTGAAAATTGAGAGGATTATTTTGTGGTTCTACGTGTTCATTTGAAAGTTTTTACTTCAGATAAGTGGTTAACATCAGGAACCCAAGAAAGAAAGAAAGAAAGAAAGAAAGAAAGAAAGAAAGAAAGAAAGAAAGAAAGAAGTTTTATCTCATAAGATAGAAATGACATTATTGTTTCCTTTGGTACCTCAAAAAGTCCTGTTCTGACAATCTGGAAGGCAACTGTGAAGGAGAGGGTAGAACCTTTTCTACACTGTCCCAGGTCGTTGAGGGGAGACCGGCACACCACTGCTCCCACACTGGGGTCGAGCTGACTCTTAGGACCTGGATGGATTGATGGATGGATGGATGGATGGATGGATGGATGGATGGATGGATGGATGGATGGATGGATGGATGGATGGATGGATGGATGACAGGGAGAGATTAGGTCAGAAGCACAAGTAGGAAAGAATGAAAGGTCAGATTAAATATCAGCTGTTGACATAGAAGAAATCTGCTTAGAAACATTACTCGAGGGAAGATGACATTCACGAATGACTATAAATTCAAGTTTGTGCAACCAAATACTGGTTTCAAGACACGTAGCAGGAGAGCAGTTTTTCAACAGCCAGTCAGCTATGTTAACAATCAATAACTGATTAACTCTTGTAATTAATTACCCGACCTACAATGTTGCTGCTGGTTACTTTAATTAAATTAAACAGCAAAAAATGCTGACTTCATTAAAATTGCTATTTAGCCAGTAGTGCAACAAAATCCAAAGTATTAAACACAGCAAAGGTGCTCCAGTTAATAGCCTGAAACATTATTTATCTCTACATATTAGTTTAATATCAGAATAATCTTTATATCTAAATTCATGTTAGAGTGATTTGTTCCCTGCTGGAACACATGTCCACAAATACTGTCGGACCTACTTCATAAGACCAGGAATATACTTGTTTCATGTTTTAGTTTCAGTTTCCCCACAAAAGAAAACGCCACCCAAACCAATAAAAAATGTTTATTGACTTTGTGATTAGGACTTTTACTGATAAAAGACATATAATCGAGGTCACATGGGTGCCTATACTATACTATACTAGAGGTCAATAGACTCCTGCAAAACTTTATTAAACCAGTATCGCCGTATGAATGTTGGAGATTGGCTGCGCAACCAAGTATTTTAGGAGACACATAAGAAAAGAATGCAAAAGCTTACAGGCCAGCATGTTTGTTTTTGTTTGTGTCTCGGTCTGGCCTGGCATACACTGCAGCTACCACTTTTGACCTTGTTCTTACCACCATCAAAACAATGGTGTTTTCACACCATCTGTCTTTGTTGACCCGTACAAGTGCACTACAGACAATCAGCTATGCTTGGAAAATATTTGTTTTTTTCCTTAATCACTAGGTAAGTACACAAAAACGCCCCTGTTAGACAGCACATGTTGCAACTGACTCTTTGTAAATCTTTGCAGCTATTGATTAAAAGAATTAAGCAACTGGACAAAAAATAATGAACCAAGGTTTTAGAGATATATGACGAAAGAAGGAAGGGAGGCGATGTAATGTACAACTCACCTTCAGAATTCCATATCAGACGAATGGCCAGGAAGTCCTGCAAGTTGTTTAACAGTGTGTATTTTACCCAGAAGTTCTCCAGAGGCCTAACAGTACTGGGACAAGAAGCTGTCATCACCAGTAGAGGACGATGAATGCGGATACTAGGCAATGAGTAAAAAGTAGAGATGTATCTGGAGAGAAAGAAAAAAGGATTTAAATGAAAAAAAGGATTCAAATCCCCTGCAACCAACCTTTCCATAGCAGGGAAAGCACATGATAAACAACAGTGGCAAGGACCTAGGTCCAGCTCATCTAAATAAAATGCACTTGTGCTTTGTGATGACATGTGTTGTGACTTGGCGCTAGAACCTAAAACTGATGTGAAACTGATTTGCTGTTACATGTCAAAATCTATGCTTTGGAAAAGGTCTGTCTATTTTACCGCTCTATAAATCACATTTGTCAAAACTAGTCTTTTAATAGAAATATTTAACAAATCAATCCATTATCTATACACTTCCTCACATCCTCTCTAGGGTCACGGTGGGGCTGGAGCCTATCCCAGTCACTATTTAACAAAAGATAATTAAGCAAAAACAAAAAATAGAGCTAACAGATTGTGATGCATTATTAATATACATAAAGGTCTGCTAAATGGCTACATTTCAAATGGTACCTCATTAAAGGACGTGTTGGAGTGTGCCATTGTACCACAGCCAGCAATGGGACTTCCAAACCCTACAAAAACACAGTTATTATGACACATGATTTCATACATGAAATTTATACATAAAGTATGCAAAAAATGAGAACGTGCATCTTATGTCTGGGTATCAAAGTGTGATACATGATACATCTTAATTCTTTGTGCTCAAAAGTTATTCAGAACACACTGTTGCAACTGTACCTTTCTTTGCCATAAACACACACTGTACCATAATTTCACTCAATCCCACATATACTGTTCTGCTGCAAGAAATAAATACTAGAGCACCAGACATGCATCACTTTTCTGCTGAAAGCATTCATTTGCAAATACATGGTTTTATCTTGTTTAAGTAATGTCTGGTAAGTGCCAAGCTGTACAGAGAAATTCTGTTTTTTTAAATTATAAATGATCTCATCTTTTTTTTTTTCTTAGTTTTTTTTGTTGGCCTTTTTGCCTTTATTACATAGGACAGCCAAAGCAGAGACAGGAAAGTGGGGGAGAAGAACAGGGGAAGGGGTTGCAGCAAAGGGCCATGAGCGGGATTCAAACCCATGGCCACTGCATCAGAGACTATAGCTCCTGAACATGGGTCACCAGCTCAATCAGGTGAGCTAAAGCGGTGACCCTAAATGAGCTCATCTTTAAAGATGAAAAAGGCACAGTAACTCTAAAAGGTTTTTTCTGAATATAACTCAGGGTGCAAGCACTAGTAGCTACAACTGTGTGCAGTGTTAGTGTATTTGTTTTCACAGCAATGCACATGACTGATGAAGTGATTGTCTTAGTCATCAGCCAACACACCCTCAATCAATTCCTCTCACCTCACTGGAGTCCTCTTCTCTTTTTTCTTGTAAATGCAGCTGGAATAGGAAGTTCTGTTCTTCCAGGGCACTGAGCATGCTGGGTAAATGTGATGACTTGCTGTCTATTCGACAGAATGAAGCCACGGTGATCTCTGCTGCTTGGTGGCTTTGGTGGGGAAATGAAAACAAAGACGGGTTTGTTGGGAAACTTTAAATTCTAATTTAGCTCATGACATTTTGTGTACAAGTGGAGTGCTGCATTTATTAATGGCATTTGTTCATGCTGGTTTGATCAGTCAGGGTTTTTTTTTTGTTTGTTTTATGACTAGTCTTCAATAAAAAAAGACAATGTTTGGATGTTTTAACGACCTTTATGCATTTCCCTGGTGTCATTACATTCTGGGGATGGTGTTTATTTTTGCTTGCTAACTGGAGCAGGCAGCTCCATGGCAGTTTTTCTCTATCAGTTGTTATTGCCAGAATAAACAGAGACCACATCCAGTAGACCGTGGTGCATCACAGCATCATCTTCATAACAACAACAGTGCAGAAGCCAACCAGTTGCACTTGTACAGTGGCACCAAAAATAGTCATGAAAAACTTTGGGTACATCTAAATAAAAAAGTTTTGTGCAGCAGTGCAACCGATGTAAAAAGTTGGTCTAAGGGCCAAAGTTTTTGAATTCAGCCTTTCATAATTCAGCATTACTTATTTAGCTATTGGCTTTTTTGAATGTTTGAAGGGGCAGGAGCCCCCTCTCTCTGTCATTTACCAGAAAGGGTGTAATATAGCAACAGTTTGTACATAAAATGTGAATGTCCTTATTAATCAGTAACATATTATATTTCTAATGTACTTATTGTTAATCTAGCATAACAACACTAACTCTGTAGCCATGTTAGCAGTTCTCTGATGCTGTACTTAGACAAAATGGTGCTTTAGGATGATGTCTAACATGAGACTGCTCGCACTCTTTAGTTTAGCACTTAAGCATGCTCAAATTTTCTAAATGTGACTCAACATAAGTGGATTGATCAGTAATTTGCAGGTATTTGGGCAGAAATGAAAGCTATGCTCAAATTTCAAGACTAAAGAGTCATTTTTGAAATAAAAAAAACAAACATTCTTTTTAAGTAAGGTTGAGAGAGCTCGATCCTTTCAGCACAGCAGTGAGGTTTCCCTACAGCCTGCATTAACAAGATGCTTTCATCTTACTATATTGAACTTGTTCTTTGATAAATAAAAGGCAAGTCTCATGTGCTGCTGGCTGTATTGCTCCCTCTCTAATGGATGAGGTGTTTCACTACCTAAGGAAAATATTAAAAAAAGGCCAGGTTGTTTCACACGTTAAGTCTAATCCTCCTTTGCAAACAGAGCATTTAACAGTGAACACTGCATGTACATATACTTACTTACCAGACATTGTCAACTATAAGAACTGAGCCATCTGGCATCATGGGGAGGTAGGATGAGTTGTAGTTCGGAAGGATCTTCACATCTCTGACACACATATCCTCTCGAGAGCTGCTGTTCAACACTGTGGAGAGAGGAAAAACAGTCGGCAGAACCATTACTCGTCAGTGGTTCTTCCAGTTACAGGTGTTGTCGTGTACTGACGAAGCATTAGTGAAGCAACATTTCGTTGTTTTGTCAAGTTTCACAAGGCATACTTAAAAGGAGACATTTTGACATGTGACAATAGAAAAGTCACGGGTGTGAATGATAAACTGAGCGAGGATTAGGCCCCACAGCTTCATGCACATAAGAACACACCGCAGTCCAGAGGTTATATTTCCATGCATATTATTCCTATGTTTGGAGTGATATTTTATAAAGGTACTATACTATATAATAGAAGTGAGTTTGCCCCTGTGCAATATTACTGCATTACTTCGAAGTTGACCAAAAGGGTATTTTCTCTTATAAAAAATAAAGAAATAAAAGTTTATGTTTGTCATATTAAAAATGCAGGCCATGGAGCAGTATGTCAAATAAAACAAAAGTGATCACACCTTTCATTACTGAGACTAAAATCTTTCATGTTTCAATTCTTTTCATGTTTACCTTTATTTTGGATGACAGACAATCTTCTTCCGATACAGAGGTTACCAATGTTGCCCAAATTTTGAAGAGAAGTTCTACCATTGTATCAGGTGCTGTCTGCTGGATTGCATTGCTCTACCCTTCCCTTAGACATTCCATGTTTACCTTTTTCTTCTTTAGAAACTCTGTAGCATTCCGATAGCTCCCCTGTTTGAGCTCCTCACCAACCTTTCCTATCACTTCTGAACTGTTCCTTTAAATAAATGCAAAAGCCAATCTTAAAAAGAAAAACTCTTGTGTGATTTTTGGCTGAATGTTTTGGCTCATTATCATGCTACAACATTTCTCTTCTGCCAAGTCTCTGGATGTCATCTTGTCAGCCAGTGTTTTGGTATATTCACAACCATATCTCCAAATAGCATCTCCCCAAACACTTTCTTGCACACACACATCCCCTGTGCTTCACTGTCAGGACTATGTATTCATCGTAGCAGCCCTGGCCAGGTTCATGCTGAAGGGCCTTGAGCCAAACAAATACATCTTGAACATCTCTGACCGAAGAATGTGCTTCTCAAAATCATCATAGTTCTTTTCATGCAAGTTTGTGCCAAAAAGAGATGGCAAGGGTTTTGTTCTTGGATGCCATCCAAAAGGTTGATGTTATGCAATATCCTTTGCTCTGTCTGAGGTTTCACAGAAACTCAAAATTTCCTTTGATAACTCTTGTGCCAAGTCAGACGCACTTATCTGTCTGGTTTTCAGCTCTAGACTGTGCAATTAGCACACTGTCTGGGTTTCATTTATGAGGACGACAACTGTGATTTTGACTGTTGCTACTATAGTTTGTTTATACCTCCTGACTGCTGCCAACTGTGCACTGGTTTTTAGTTGGTCCACCAATCTTCCTGGATCCTTTTCTATCACGGTAAAGTGTCACAATCAGTGTTTTTTAATTCTTCTGCAATTGTTTTCCATGTGGCGGCATGGTGCAGAAAGGTGGACAGACAGGGCCCATAGGTCCAAAACTGAGAAACTTCCAATGTTCAAAGGTGATTTTACAGCAGCATTCATGAAAACAAGCTGTACTCATTTTAGTTTTTAAATGGTCACAAGGTTTCTAACTTATCTGTCAACTTCCTACTTTTGTTGCACTGTTTCTGATTTGGGTCCTGCAGTTTCAATAGTCTTTCTAAACTCTTTTCTTCGATTGTGCATAAGAGCAAATGCTCTGCTTGTCAACTTGGGAAAAATACAACCATTGAGAGGTTCTTGTTTCATTTTAATCATTTGATATTTAGGTGATGTTGCACAGGAGGTGGACTCACTTCTGCTGTATGTTGTATATATCATGCGGAAGTCTAATGTTCCTCTCAGTGTGCATGCCAGAACGCCAATTTGACCTACGTTTGTAGAGACTGTTAAACCAAAGACGCTCTCTTCCTCTGTGATGCACTTATCTCTTTTGCTCTCACACTTGTAAATCAGAAACCTGTCTCTGCAAGGGAGGAAAAAACTTAAACACACAGGTCTAACTTTGTACCGTGATATTAAATTGTATTAGGTGAACAAAGACTATCTGATACTGTTTTCACTTGTTGAATTCCATTGAGTTTTCACTGCTGATAAGGGTGAAACACAGATGAAGTTTGAGTGTTACTTTATTTCCTTAGCTCTTTGTCTAGAAGGGCACGAGTCCCATGTGCATACATTAGTTAATTGCAATAAATAAAAGTTTACTTTTTTGTAGAATTTTCCCAATTATAAATCAGAATTTTAAGCTGTGAAAAAAGTTTATTTTCCCACTGCGCTCATAGCCAAAGACTGAGAAGAAAAACATCTTCTGCATCTCTGCAATAATTCAGAAAAGCAAGATTTTTTTTCTTCTTTAAGATCTAAACTCCAAAACAAGCCATAAATGTGCCTTTTGTGTATTCACCAATCAATCTATAAGCTTTCATAATGTATACAAGACAAATAAACCACATTTTGGTCTTCACAATCAGAATAGAATTTGTCTATTTCCTGATCAAATTGTTCTCGAGCTAATGTGGACATTATTTTAGAGCAGGTAAGTCACTAGCTAGTTTGGAGGATATCTGGGGTTTTAATGTGCTCTAAGAAATCAAGGAGTGTGTCTGTGTGTGTGTACGTGTGTGAGAGCTCCTGGTCTACCCTTGAGGACAGTCAGGTGTTTTCCAGAGATGGTCATCTGCTGACACTGGACACTGGGAGGTGGAAGGACATCCAGGGTGGTGCTGACTGATAATGAAAACAGGACACAACACGTGTTCAGTGGTCAGTGTCACTCAGGACTGTTATATTGAAATTAAGTCTAGAATCCATTAGGACAGAGTGTATGTACCCTGTGTCTTGAAGGTGCTCAGGTTTTGTTTGAAGGTGTGTGTTGGACTCCTGAGCTGCAGAAGAGTCAGATAGCCATATTCTCTTAATTCCCCCTTGTCCTCCTCCTGCTTCCACACAGTCACTACAAACTGATATCACAGAGATGCAGGCAAACAAACAACAGGACAAGGTGGTTATTATGTATTCCATTACATGTTTCACCTCAGGATTCTATAAAGGATAAATAATCACAACTACCACCACCAGAGATATCGGACCCCAGTCCAAACAGAAACACTACCAAATGTATATCATTTCATTGCATGCACTGTGATACAATACAAACTGTACTATTATGTATATACGCATGAAGGTTTGTGAGACCTTGGCTTTGATTGTGTTGATTGGAAGTTTGTCCAAAGATACAGTGAGGCAGAAGATAACCTGGTCATCCAACACCAGAGAAGACTGCAAGAGGATAAGCAAAGGACAAAATGTTAAAAAATCTGAGTTTCTGTTGCAACATTAGTTTGGCTTACAAGTCTGTTCATAAATAATACACGCTTGCCTTAGACATAGCTTCCTTCTATTTATGTTGGAAACACAAACAAGAAACACTGCAATTCTTCACATTTTAGAAAAGGCAACCGTAGAGCCTTTGGTATTTTAAAATAAATAAATAAATGCCATGATTAGTTTTCTGCAATGGATTTCAGTCGAGACCTAAATGAAATCAATATTTGATGTGGCCACTCTTTGCTTTTAATACAGCACCAATGCTCTGAGGTTCATTTGAACTCAGTTTTTCCAGGATACCAAACACTCAGGCTCATAGTCATGCTGCAGAATGAATTTGAGTGAGTGTCTCTGTTAAAGTGTGAGGGGTGTTTTTACTGCTTGTCAACTTAGCAGGAAAGATGACTGCAAAGTTGTTAAGAGCAGCTTCATACTATAATGACACATTTCTATCCTGCTAGGAGTGGTCAATGCCCCCATCGATAGGACACAAGGGGTTACTGATAAGTAGGACAATAATGTGAATTATAAGCTGTGGACCATTGCAGTCACCACATCTCAGAACACCTGAACACCTGTGGAAGATTTTGGACATGTTGGGTGGGTTAAGCCTCATCCACATATAGAAACATGTGCTTGTCACTCATCATTTTGTAGCCGACAGCAGGTCGCTAAACATTCGAGGCACTAGTTGCCTTGATGCTGTTTATTTCCCATCTCAAATGTTTCGAAGTAAAACTGGCTTCAACAGTGACGATTCACACACATTTAAAATCTTTTTGTCCACACAAAACGAAGCTACAGCTACTCTCTCACAGAAACCCTCTTTGCCATAATCACTCTCTTTTTAAGAAGTATGCACCATCAACAACACTGCTGCTACATCTGGGTTCACCTGACGCTCTGCATGGCAAATACCATTAGCTTGTTCCACAGCTCAGTGTGGATAAAATGCACTGTTGGCTGTACTTCAAGCTCAACCGCACTGAGTTTGACAAGCTGAAAGTGGATCCACAAAAAATGAGGATGGACACTACGTAGCTATTCCTCTAGGTGATTGACTGGCAATTTTCTTGCAGTAAGGAAAAGACAGCATCATAGGAGTTGTTAAAATGACATGGAGAGTATTGCTCACTAATTTAAACATGCACCATAAGGTTGACTGTTTGATCTCCTCCTTTTAATCTATGCTACTTATTATGCTACCTAATGCAATCCAATACAACAGCTTTGCCATAAACTATACTTAAATGATGAGTCTACATTTTCAGTTTTTTAAAAAAAGGTTATAATTCTACATTGTTTATTACTGAGGTCAGTAGTGATATAATACTCTTCTTCATCTTTAAAGTGTTCCTACTATTTTGTCATAGATGGCAGCAGTCACAGGTGTCCAACACTATTTTAAAAAATAAGTGAAATGACGATAGACCAGTGTTTCCCATACATTGATATACTTGTGGAAACTAGTGCAAATCAGCTTAATACTGACAAATTGGTCTATCTGTGCACTGGTGTGCAAGGTGACGCAGTTGGTAGAACTGTTGCCTCACAGCAAGTAGGTCACCGGTTCGCGTCCCGGTGAGTACACCTGGGATCTTTCTGCATGGAGCTTTCTCCTCGTGCAGCGTGGGTTCTCTCCGGGTTCTCCGGCTTCCTCCCACAAGTCCAAAACCATGTTGAGGTTAATTGGTGATTCTAAATAGTCTGTAGGTGTGAATGTGAGTGTGCTTGGTTGTCTGTCTCTAAGTGTAGCCCCGTGATAGACTGGTTACCTGTCCAGGGTGTCCCCTGCCTTCACCCTAAGTCAGCTGGGACAGGCTCCAGCCCCCCGTGACCCTAGTGAGGATTAAGCGGTGTATGAAGTGATGGATGGGTCGATCTGTTCTTAACTCTTCAATGAAGTTGTTGTGTCATCTTTCTAAATGTTTGGCTCCTAATAAAGGCAGGAAGCCCTCGGTCAATGCCTGGCTCACAGCTGCTAACTAGTCTTTGTTGTTCGCTGAGTTACAGTGATAAAGAGAGGCAGACACTGTTTTGTTTGTTTGCTTTGTTTTGTTTTTGAATATACTTTACTTTTCTTGGGCCGTAAACAGTGTGCAACATTCGAATAGCTGATTTATTTATTTATTTTTGGTCTATCTAGTCACTTAAGGGCAGATGACAGTAAACAGTCACTGCTGCCAGAAACAAGATTTACAGCCACAGCAACCTCTCATCTGTGGTGCCTCAGACAGGTAGAAGTCTGAGCTGGTTTAAAGTCCTTGAGGGCTTGAATGAAATGTCAAGTCTGAACAAATCTGCACCAGGTTTGCTCTAACAGACTGAACATGAAAACAGAGCAGTCACTGCAGACAGGAAGTCTATTATCGGACTGGTTTGAATTCAGGAAATGTATAAAGATAGTGTCTTTCACATTGTAGGTAGGCACATAATGTTTAGTGATAACAGTGACTGTGCAGTTTTTAAATATTTCATACAATGCACATGCTGGTTGTATATCCCTCCTACCTTCACTTGGTCCCTCCCAAGCTGTTTCTCACCACTGGGAGAGAAATTGCGGCTGAAAAGCGGGCTGCATTGTCTGAAAGTCCGGTTGTCCCCGGTTCGAGGCTCACTCTCCTCGGCGCTGACGTCCACACTGTCCTCACTGCTGCTGCTGCTCTGGAGGTCTGGCGGGGACTCACCGGGTGTCTGCTGTCCGCTCTCAGCGACGGACACACTCGCCAAAGCCGACAAAGAACCCACCAGGTCTTTCCAAGGTAGAATAGCAGAGCTGCCATCCCTCTCTCCGGCTCTCCGAGACCGCAAAACTAGCAGGAACTGCACGGTCTCCCCGTGGTAGACGTGGTTTCGCCGTGGGAGAGTTGTGTACTTCGCTGCTTCTGACATACTCGAAATTGGGGCGGCAGGAAAATACATAAAGCACTCGCATTGTGACTCCATCGTTGAAAGCTTAAACTTACGGTTAACCACCTGCTGCACGGTAATACGCCACGGTTTTTCATGAAGCCTAAGTTTAATAAACACCGCATTTGGGTGTGTTTTAGGAAATGCGAATTGAAATGCGTTTTACAGTCACAAAAGACAGTTAAAGTCGTATTCAAGTGACAAACGCATCTTCCTCGGTTTCCTGCCACTATAAAACAAATAGCAGGGCGGCTAGTCGACGCCAGAAACAGACAGCGGTCACCAGACCAAACTAATCAATGGCCGCAAGCGTGAACACAGAGTCAAGTCAAATGAATTAAACTTTTAATTGGTGTAAATTAAATGTTACAATAAAGGAGGCAAATTACCGTAGTTGAAGAAATGTTGCTTTTATTCAGTACAAGAAAAAAAAAAAAACTCAACTGATGCACACATAGAGCGTGAGCTACAACACATTTCAACAAAAAAAAAAAAACAACACAGTTTCAAGTAAGGTTGAAGCCAAGGTACACGGTTGCTTTCTGAACAAACTCTTCCAGTTCAGACGATCTGTAACAACTTGAGAGAAAATCTATGAAGTATTTGCTGTCAGGGTTGTAAGAATAGTCAAAACAGACATGGAAGTTGTTCAAATGAAGTCTGCATGACAAAAAGAGGAATAGGACTGTGTACCAGAGCTTCTACGCATTCTGACCTTTAAAAGTGAGAATTAGAGGTTTGACATCAGCCTTTTACGGTCTGCATCTTTCTTACACACAATGTAACCACATGTTCATTTACAAAAACTTAAATACAAGTAACACGCTACAAAATAAGTTGCAGTACCCAGTAAAACTTTTTAAATTAGAAGGATTAACGGTATGTTAGAAAGCACCGTTTCATTTTATTATCCGTTACCTTTTTAGCAGAGAGTGCATTCGTTTAAGTGGGAATGTAAAAGGGATGAAACACAGATGTGCATGAAACTGAACAGAATTCACCAATGGCTGAAATGCCAAAAATAATTGGAAGACAGTTTCTATAATTATAACTCCTGTATCTTTGTGACTTAGCTTATTATACCACGAAAATGAAATTACAGGAATAAGTAAAAAAAAAAAAAAATAAAATAAAATAAAAATTACAAGATCTCCTAAACTATAAAATAATGACAAGAAGTTACTTTTTTGACTTGAATATTTGACCCTTTGTTAATAGATAAGAAAATAACTTTTTGATCTTGACACATTTTTCTGCCATGATGTAATTATCATGATGTAGAAATTATATTATTATCATTATTTCTGTTGTGTGTAGGCCAGCTTCTTCTCTTTTGATGCATAAATACTCAAGTTAGGATGCACAACTGTTGTTGAGTATGGAGTGTGCCATGTTATACTCTCATGTATTGCATGACACTATAATGTTTACACAGTTTTTGGTAACTCATTTAGTTTTTTTTGTTGTTGTTTGTTTTTTTTTAAATTTTTTTTAAATAAAATTTTCTAAATCAAAAGCATGACATGACTATATTACCACGCTTCAATACCAATGAAATCAGCAAACAATAACACTGGGCCAGTCTAAGTTACTGTGTGGTATTTGTCGTTTCAATACTGACTGAACATGTGCAGATTCAATATTTTGTCAGCAGCGTTTTACCGTGACGCTCTCTTCCCCTCATTGACACTGCATTTCAAAGAGAACAATTCCTGATTAATATAGTATGCACAAAGCAATTAGAATGATTAATACTGAAGGACGTTGTATTAAAGGCCTGCTTCATAATATGACATCCTAAGGCATGGAACAAATCCTGATGCGATTGCAAATGTTCTTTGTAATGTTTCTTCCACAGGCCATTAAACTCTGGCATAACAAAACAGCAGGCATCTACTAGATTCACTCCAGTTCTTCACTTTGATAGAAGCAAGTGTTTGCATAATGACAACAAATGATATCCCTACCTCAGCCAAAGATACCAATGACTTAATTATTGCTGTGCCTTAGCAGGAGTTTGACATATAAAATCAATGGTGATGGTGGCCCTACGGAAAATGCCATGAGGTCTAAATCAATAAGAACAGTCTGTTATCCCACCAAACAGCACGGAGTCAAAAGTACTTCAGTCACAATTCTCTAATAACTGAATAAGTTATGAGAGCTCAAAAATAAACAAACAAGAAAAGCTTGTCACCTGTTTTACCAAGAACCAAGAATGACCCTGATGAAGGTCATCACTGGTCTTTATAGAGTCTTAGTGTCTTCAACCCCGATGTAAGATACTTCTCTAAATATCATTCTCAAATGGCTTGACAACATGGCTGTAAAAAAAGTAGATCATGGTGCATCAGCGGTGTCACCGGAAAGACTGTTAGACTGTTTTGTGGTCTGACTGCAGTGAGTGAAAACCACAGCAGAAGGTGTCTGTGAAGCGCTCTAACTAGAAGTGATGTTTTCATGTCAGGGTGACTCTGATCAGATTGAAACAAACGTGAGGAGATATTACTTGATTGTGCATTCAGTATAAAAGTATAATTCACTTTGCTTTGGGCAACATGGGATCTCTTCAGAGCCTCATTAAACCCCTTAATAGTTGCATTCTGATGTGCCCGTTATCTATTCATATGCCTCCCCTGCTGTTTGTCAGGGTCATTAAAGGTAATTTTCAAATACTACAAGTAGTGGCAACAAATATCCCATCACAAACAAAACATCTTTCAAAAGTAAGATTTAACTTGTAAAAATTCTCTTGTTGTCCAGAACCAGGCCTTCAGTAGAAACATACTTATATCAGAGACAGTAAATTCTCTTTTTTTTTTTAGATTTGATCATATTTCAGTTATTTAAATGAGAATTCTCCCTATTTTCAGATCAGATCTCCGTTTAACTTGTTGATCGAGTTGTTTGTTGGTAGATTTCAGAGCAGGGAACAGTTTTAAAACTAGTTATTCATTTAATTTGTAGTCCATGATCCAGTTTACGATAGAAATCCGAGACAGTGCTGTTAAACTCAGCCCTGGCTTTGCTGAAGACATGCCTACAAAAAAAAAACAAAAGCCCTGATGTGTTGCAGCTGCAGAGCCACTTTCAGAATAAACTACCAATGTAACCACGTTCACTGAGATGAACGTGTGTCCTACACGAGGCTCAAAACCTCAACAAAAACTGTTTAGAAGCCTGCCAGACAGTGTCGTCAAATGTCAAATGCATTTTTCTTTATGTGTGTGCAAATTGTAGACTGACTTCTGTTGAACTACCAAGTACGAATCTGTCCGTGCTCCCTGACAAAGATTTAGAGGTGTGTTTTTAATGTATGTCGTAACCAGTGTTGATTAGATTCATCCAGCAGCATGTTAATACCAAAGCATTCTCATTAAATTGATGAGAAAACTTTCAACAAGTACCATGCAGTACCAGGTTTAGCATTGCATGTGATCAGCTTCATGTGTAACACGAGGCAGTACTGAGATAAACAAATGTCATGCTACATTCCAAAGATGATAAGTTTCACCTCTTACTGAAAAACTAAAGATAGCCATAAAAGAAAACAGTTTAAGAAAAACTGGTTTTCATCAGAAGAAATATTAGATAAATGAAAAGAATTAGAGACAGTGAAAACCACCATTTAAACCATGGTCCCATTCCTTACAGCAGACATTTGACAGTGATATTCAGGGTTAGAGTACCTGCTGCGTGTACCTGGATGCTTTTTTTTGTGTGTCTAAAGCTGTGAAACTGAAGAACAATGGGTTATATTTGCTTGTTTGTGGAAATTTGATTATTGACACAAGTTTTGTCTTGTTTTCATTTTTTTCTTAATTGATAACTTTTTATGAAGTGTAGAACAACAGTGTGCACTCTAAAACATCAGGAAGTTCATCTTTAAGATGTAGCTGGCCCACACTAATAAAATTTCACATCTGACATCATGACAAAGAAATGGATCTTTCTACGAATGGGTGTGCCTGATAGTTGAACACATTCCATCTACTTTAGCACATAGGAGGAGGAGGTGTCCGACAGTGGTATTAACTAGCCGTCTGCAGGCTAGTGAGCATCTCAGACGCACAGGCTTTGAACAGTTTCCCTTCCTTATTATGAAGAATTATTTAAGAAGCTGTTGAGGTTATCGCTTCTAGAGAGGGCTCAATACTGACTCCAAAGCTGAACTCAGAGTTTCCCATGGATACATTTGTCTGAAGGACACCACAAAATCCAAGATGGTAGACGGACATGTAACAAAAACCAACAGAATGAAAAATCATTTCTGTCTGCTGCATGGTATTTTTAATCCATGTTCCCAGGAATCCCTTTCAATATAATTTTGTATGAAAATAAAACAGTTGACAGAACCATCAATAAAGACAAGTATGACTGCTAATACAGGCGTTAAATTCTAAATACTGAGATGGGAAACATGACATCTTCAGCTACTATCCTTGTTTTGATTTAGAAATTGGTAGAAGTCACTCTTTTTTTTTGTTTTTTGTTCTTTTTAAATCGAGGAGAGGAGTCTTTGAGGATTCAAGAAATACTTTCAGTGTTTTTAAATAGCCTGTGTTTTTACAAAGATTCCCAATTTGAGAAAAAAAAGGATGCTTTAACTAAGTAACTCAGTGTAATGGTAATATATGAGAGGCACAAACTGGGACTACGTATACCTTGATAAGACATTTTAAGCATACCATGGTCAGTATGAAAATCTCAACTGTCACATATGCACACACACATATGTGTAATAATAAGGACCTGCAAACACTTTTTCAGTTCTTCTCCGTATTGAAAAAAGCAGAACATACAACCCTTCTTCACCTTCTTGCTGCAACCATTGAAAGATCCCAGTCCACAAGAATCACCCTAACTGAAAGTAATTAAGGAAAACAACCAAAAGTGCAAAGGAGAAGCTCTTTGTTTTTTCATGTGTAAACCAAACTTGACTGAGTTTTCAGGGTCATTCGTCCATCTTTTCAAAGACTTAAAGTACCATATTTACGAAGGAAACTCACCTCAAACTATCTCAACCTCTGTCTTTCTTGCGGTCGTATCAAAGTCTGGTTGCTCCTCATTAAACGGTTTCCATCCCAGTCTTTCTCCCCCTCCACCAGTGTCCTCCCCACGGCCTCTACCCCAATCCCTCTCTCTCCTGTCCTGGATGGATCCTGTCTTAAAAAAGTGCCACCGGCTGCTACCATCAGCCCCTGGCTCTGTTGCCCTGACTGAGCCTGGGCACCAGGAACTCGTGGAAACTGTTTAGTATCCAACACATCTTTGTATTGGATCTCGGGTCTGATCATCCTTAGACAGGCCATCATAGTTTTATTGTCCAGCCCTGGCTGGAGCTCGTAGCCAAGAATCTTCACTAATCCACTCTGGAAGGGCCTGATATTTTTGTCTCGGATCCGTTGTGCCTCCACAGGCTTTCCACCATCCCTGAGACAAACCCGGGCTAGATCTTCTCGCCGCGTCCTGAGGAGAGTGACTTCTTGCTCCATCTGGGCACGACCAAACCTGTCAATTTCCTCCCAGAAGGTCCGATTGAAGACCTTGTATAGGTACCAATCTAAGGCATTCCACTGCCGTAGCTTTTCTCGCTGATCCTCTGTTAGTGACAGATTGGGCGGTGTCTTGGGTTGTGAACGTCCAGCTCTAACACCAATAGCAGCTGCAGCTGCCGCTTTGCCCACCCAGTTCCCACTCAACCCCCCAGTGCTACTGGGCTTCTGCTGCCGAGCATTAAGGCTGAATGAGACTACAGCATCCAGCGGCCAGCAAAGGGCATGTCTCAGCAGGATCATGGACTGGTCAAAGTACTCAGACACCAGAATCAGCTTGAAGGTCCGACGGATCATGGCCTCACCACGCTGTGCCAGTGCCATGGAGAAGTTAGCATTATGGTCCATGCCAAAGTCAAACCACAGCAGGTTGCGGGCGTAGTGGTTGTTGCGGAGACGAGGGTCATAGTATTTCCTGGGGTCGTCAGCAAAGTCACCCAAGCCTTTGGCTTTCCGAAAAGCAGGTGCTACCTCTTTGTAATAGGCAAAGGAAGACTCAGCAAGAGTGACTGGATCCCTGACAATGGTGAAGTAAAACGTGTCTGCAGGCATCACCTTCTCCACCTTAGAGACAGAGAAAGAGAACTTAGTTATAAGAATGTGGCATTAATGTAATTCAGATGCAGCAGTTGCATATTGTATTTTCTAAGCAACAGACACCAGAATGATTTTGTAGTTCTCCTTTTCAGGCAAACAATCAACAGTAACCAGTTAATTGTTCACTATTTTAAATGTAAACTCAACAGTAGCTGCTGCCACCAAAGATGGAAAGCAGGTAACTGCTGCTCTCATAAATGACTTTTTGCTGCTGTTGTCGGCCACTGACCTCACAGACACCTTAGTTCACTAAATCAGAATCTGTACCTTCTCACCTGCAGAGAGCACTTTCAACATCTCAGCCAATAAACAGTGTTACTAATACCATTCACAAACACCATTCATCACATATCCTCACCACATACCATTCATGAAACACTATTAGATAGATACAGGCAGAACCACCAAGTTCTCACAATGAAAAAAGCACATTTGCATTCAGAAAGTATGTGAGTTGTCAAATAAAAACCTGCCACAGGACTCTTTAATATCCACACAATTGGTCTACACTCCCAACAGGAAATATAAGTGCATAAACAAGATGTTCACAAAGATTTACACTTACACATTTACCTGTCTGTGGTCAAAAATTCACCCAGAAATCACCTGTATGTGTGAATCCTAAATTCAGAGCTACAGATTAAATCTAAATACAAATCATTGCTATAGGTACAATAAGTTTTGTCCAACATTTGACGTTTCCTTCTGAAAAGCTGATGGAAACGCAAACATATGTGAACATCTTATGCACTCACACTTTAGAAATTATTTATGCACAGATTTGTCACAAAATAGCACGCCGGATCTCATTACATCAAAAATGAAATCTGTTTGTTCAGATATTGTTGATACATCGAAACATTTGAATGCACTGGATCAGAACATTTTGATTCCTATTATTAGCACAATATTTATTTGAATACATTCATACAAAATGTTTTCATACATTTTGGTACAGTGATACAACACTTGTGTCCTTAATTTGCTTCCAAACTAAGATCAATAAAAAGTAATCATGATGTTACTTTTGAAATCATGCTCCTTTTGGTGGCTAAAACTTCTGCACTCTGTATTAAAAATGTGTTCTCTGTGGGAGATTTTTTCTTCTGGCTTCTGAGAAATATGTTAGTTTCAGGCGCTGGAGTAGCCTATTGTGGGGGTGGGGATGATCCTTCATAATCCGACTAGCTTAGGTTTAGCATTTTCTGAAGTGAATTCTTGCAGGGCACATCACTTTCTGTAAGATAGAGAGAGACTTTGAATTTCCTAAAGGGTCATTCTAAAATCAATCAGTGCTTCCCAACTGACCTCAGAATCAGATAAGTTCATTGCACCTTAATATTAGTATATTTACTGAAGCAGTGCAAAAGTTTAGACTATTTTTGAGTTACAGGTCCTCAATGTACATGGACGTTTGACCAATCAAGTACCCCACATGGTGACACGACACTTGAAAGTTAATCCAAAATGCACTATTTTTAAAGCTTTTCCTGTGAATTATTAAAAAACAGACCACGGTATCCATGCTTGTTTGTATTATTCCGCAACATAGACATTAAACTGATGCAGTTTTGCTGTTGAAACTGTGATATACCCCATGATTTCATTTTTAAAGTCAGTTATAGAAAGAATAACACACAAAAAAATAAATTTGGGCTTTACATTGTGACATCTTGAATGGGGTTAAATTGATTTGGTTGCAGCATTTACCATAGCTCAAATGTGTTTTTCAGTCCTGCAAATTTCCTGTGGCTACTTCGCTTACCTATGAAGCTATGAGGAAGCTGTAAGCTGTGATTTGGTTGATTTTATATAGAATGACCCTAAGCTGGATGAGTTTATAAAGGCCAAGACTTAGTGATGTGGACTCCCAGGTAAGGCATGGTCTTCTAGAAGTAGCTCTTTAGCTGGCCAGCCATATTGGTAATCCAATGTGTTTATAGCTGCTCCGATGGGCATATCACGAGTGTTTCCAGCAAACTAAACACTAGAGCTTCTTTTTTTGTTCCTAGAAACAGTCATGCATGTACAAATTGTGTGAAATTTTCTTCCCGAGGCAGCAGCTCAGCTGATCTACAATACATACAGTGTAAGACTTTATTCCATTACAAGATGATCTATTGTCTAAATTAGAAGAATCTGTGATTATTTCACTATGAACACAACATTTCTGCTATGTTATGTGGCCATGATCTCTACATATGAGATATTTATATAAGGTTACAAATTAAAACGTCTACCATGCAAGCACCAAGCAAATACAGAGCCACTCAGCACATGAACAGGTCAGTTTTATGTCTTCATCTGCTTCACTTTACAGTACAATGTATCCTGATCACTACAGAATATTCCATCATCATTGTCCCAATGTCAAGCTTGCATTCTACTTCCCCCCTCCTCCTCGTCTGAACAACTTACCTCCAGCTTATTAAATCTCATGTGATTGCCCATTATGTGAAACTCTATGGCTCTGGGACCTCGATAGCCTTTGACCCTGTGCGCATTGAAGGGCAGCGGATAGCCCAGCTGGTAGCCCAGTGGCAGGGCGAAGCGGAGGTTGCGCTCCTCTCCGAATCGGTACAGCATGTTGAGCACTGTGCTGCTGGCCGTCTTGTGGGTCTTGAGAAACATGATGTGGTTATGGGGCTGACAGGAGCCCAGGGACGGCCCCTGAGCATCAGGGGACGAGAAGATGGAGTGAGCAGCTGGCTGGACGCTGTTGAAGGGCAGATGGAGGGAAAGAGCATTTTACATTTTGATCACATTTGAATGCCTTTTTTTTACATTCCAAGTGTTTATTACAGCTGCATTAAATACACTGATCTATATCTTCACTTCTGCTGTGCTTTTTAGCCTCTCGTACCAAATCTTGTTGGGGTGTAAGACAATATTTATCCATCTCAAACATCTCTGTACAAAATATTCAGTTCAGTATGATCACAAAAAATACTGTCACACATCAGAATTTTTAGCATATAAATAAACATCATATCAACATGTTAAAAAGGTTAAAATAAATAAAAAAAGATTTCCAATGGAGGGGGTCTTCGGTGACTCAGACACACCTTTTGATAAAGAGCTCACTAAACCACTTGGTACCTTTCTTTCCCTAACAAGAAGAAAAAGTATTACATTACAACAGTTAACGCAATGCCAGGGATTCACAATTAAATAATCACAACCAAGATTTTAGTTTTCCACAATTTAACAAGCAGGATCAACTCTGGTATTGACATGTTGTTGTTTTTTAGTTGAGTCCAGCCTATTGTCTCTGTGTCCACGTAGACAATAAGCTGGACTGGAGTAAAAAGACAGAGGCTCTGTACAAGAAAGGTCAGAGCTGCCTGTTTTTCCTCAAGAGACTGAGATCTTTAACCGTCTGCAGAACCATGCTGCAGATGTTTTATCACTCTGCGGTGGCCAGCATCATCTTAGTGTGCTGTGGCAGCACGGTAAAGGCTGACAGACTCAACAAGCTCGGGAAAGCTGGTTCTGTCCTGGGAGTGGAGCTGGAGTCTTTTCTGAAATGCCATATTGACATTCACCCAATATCCACATTTCTTCTGAATATATTATAAACCCAAAGGCCAATTTCAGCTGCTCATTAATGCATGTATTCAATCAGCCATTTCGACGCGTAGACATGGTCAAGATGACTTGCTGAAGTTTAAACTGAGCATCAAAATGGGGACGAAAGGTGATTTCAGTGACTTTGGCATGGTTGTTGGTGGCAGGTGGGCTGATCTGAATATTTCAGTAACTGCTGATCCACTGGGATTTTCACACACGCCATCTCTAGGCTTCACAGAGAATGGTCCGAAAAAGAGAAAATATCAAGTGGGCTGGGTGAAAAATGGCTTGTTGATACTATAGGTCAGAGAAGAAAGCTATGAACAGTAAACTGAGGCTACACTTCAGATGGACGAGCCAAAATTGGACAATAGAAGACTGGAAAAACATTGTCTGGTCTGATTAGTTTTGATTTCTGCTGCAACATTCAGAGAATAGGGTCAGAAGAATGGTGTCGTAATGGTGTTGGAGGATATTTTCTTGGCACACTTCCAAACCCTTAGTAACAAGTGAGCAACGCCACAGCCTTCCTGAGTATTGCTGCTGACTGTCCATCCCTTTATGAGCACAGTGTACCCATCCTCTGAAGACTAATTCCAGCAGGATTATGCCATGTCACAAAACTCAAATCTTCTCAAACTGGTTTCTTGAACATGACAGTGAGTTCACTGTACTTCAATGACCTCCCCAGTCACCAGATCACAAACTAATCGAGCGCTTTTAGGATGTGGTGGGACAGAGATTGGCATCACGAATGTGCAGCTGACAAATCGGCAGCAACTGCGTGAAGAAATCCTGTCAATATGGACCAAAATCTCTAAAGGAATGTTTCCAGTCCTTGTTGAATCTGTGCAATGAAGAATTAAGGCAGTTCTGAAAGCAAAAAGGGGGTCCAATCCAGTGCTAGCAAGGTGTACATAATGAAGTGGCTGGTGAGTGTATGTATCAAATTTGGTGCTTCTATCACAAAATGAAAAATATATTAGTTACGCTGCCCCAACATTATTTATCTGCATATTGTATAATTATGATACCAATCTATCCTAATGTAATGTATGACCTGGAGACATATCATTTTTTTGCAATCGTAAACAACATCTTTTTTCTAATCGGAAGTCCCTAATCTATAATACCAACAATTTTCATCATCTATTAGACAGCCAAACCCATCACCTGAGGGGGAGGGCACTGGAAACATGAGGGAGATTTGGCCAATATTGTGAAAACTAATGTGCGCAGTAAGAAATTCACTTGCTTACCTCTGCAGAGGCAATTAACTCAGATCTTTTATCAATAAATGAGAGATCTTAATAACGTCTCTTCTCTAAGTATTTTTTTGGAGTCCAAATTTGGACGCAATGGTGCAATGTGAGCTGTTACCCCTCTATGTACATAACTCCACCGCCACAGCTACTCGCTACACCGATACACCCATCTGTCACCTCCCTTACATGAACTCGTAGGGTGAAATAGCAGAACAGTATGGTTAGGTTTAGAACATGAAGTAAACATGGCTGTGTGAGCTGTGAAGTTGATTTAGCGTCAAGCAAGTTTTTCTAAACTATGATCATGAGATGTGCTATGGTAACGGGTACTATCTCTGTCTTGTTTTCCTCAGTTCCTCTGGGAGATTTTTGTGGTTGCCACAGTCACGAGGTGAGCAGTGTGCTAAAATACAGCAAACTAATGCTGCTGGGGTAGAAGCAGCAGTCAGATCTGACTACCTGTAGGGCAAAGTTGCAAAGTGTAGAGGAAACACTTCGCAACTTTGCCCAAGAAGCACCAGGACTCAGTCTGGGCAAAGCTGCAAAGTGTTTCCTCACACTGAGTCTTAGGAAATTTAGAGATTTCCTAGAATCAGCAGTCATATCCGACTACTTGTCGGGCCAAGTTGCAAAGTGTTTCTTCACACTGAGTCCTGGGGGAATCTCTAGATTTGATGAGCTTCCCTCTATAATTTTGCAAGGTCTCTACCATACTATGTTGTGAATCAGTGCTACATAAATAAAACTGAATTCAAATCAATTCAGTTACATGTGGTGTGATGGAAAACCTAGTTAGAGTCTTCCACTTCAATTCTCTTATATATTTAAGCATGTAACCGGGTGTTCATTAATTCATTCAACTTTTAGATAAACTCATTGAGATACGGAGACCTCTCTTACAAGACAGCCGAGAAATGAAACATAAGATGTAGGCACATTAACACCTTGAATACCAATAACAATGAAAATATTAAAATGCAAAAATAGTTCTCGAGCATTTAAAAGATGCCGGTGCACAGGTCAGACATTACAATAAGAGGTTTCTAGACATTCTTCCTCCCAAATGTTAGCTGATGCTGATTTTATACTGGAATGGTAAGAGGAAAATACCAAAGAGATTTTAAAAAGATCATTGTTGGGTAACAGATGGCAGGAGCTGAACTGTGCAACCGGCTAGTGTTTCATTAGGAACATTGACTAAAGAGAGGTGCATTTGGTTCTGTGGAATAGATGTCAGTAAATAGCAAAATTATCTGAAAGCACACCCATGTGCCAGTTTCTGGAATTAATAGTACCCGGCAGATTGTGTCCAGCTTAAACAAACTAAAACACAAGCCAAGTATACATTTTCGCTTCTAAAGGAAGGATCGCTGCAGATAGTAATACAAACTTGCCCTGAGCGATCACTTTTATTATATGGTAAACTATTTTTGTCCTTAAAAGTAAATGCTCAAAAAGGATCTGTCGATCTCCTGCTCACCCAGATATGTTGTGTATGTCAGCAGCCCACACACACGGTAAGCTAAATTACATGAACTATTAGCCAGCTGTTTAGCTTTGGCTGCGTTCACAAATTCAGTCTAAAATGGTCAGAGCAGCATCTGTCCTTCAGAAATTCAATTTCAGTTTTTAGGGCGAGCAGAGAAGGAGGACAGATGCAATGATTAGATGTGTATTTTCAGTTTCTCTCACTGAATGTTGGCATGGCAGTGGTATAAAAGTACTTCCATTTTTTTCTTAACTAAAACTATCAATGTCACACTGTAAACATTTTGTCAAAGAAACAGTCCTGCATTTAATTTTTTTTACTTAAAAGTGGTTTTATAAGGACAATGTGCTTAAAGTTACCTAATATCTGTTCAAAGCACAGCTTTCAATTCTTATATAATGCTGGACTAGTCAATGACACACTATAAATAATATTTTATTTGGTGAGTAAAATCTGTGACGCTGTCCACAGTGCTCTGATAATTCCCGACAACACTCCCTCTACCACCACATTAGTATCTATAAAGTCATTTAGTAAAAAGATTGCTGTTTATTTTGCTGTAAATATTTATTGTATTTATTTCACATTTTAGTAATCAAATTACAGTCTAGAATATTGATTTGTTCAAAACAACTGTTCACTGTTGCAGAGTGCTACTCAAAAATGTTATTTTACACACAGTATACATGAGACAGCAAAGCAATCTTCATTATGTTCCTAATTGGTTTGGGGATTTCTTTCCTTTAAAGAAATATCAAAAAGTACCAATAAGAATACCATAAAGTGCGATCAGTAAGAATGGTAGTACTGTTAAAACCTTAATGATATTCATCCTTACTGCCAATAGTCATTCCAAACTACATTTCAACGGTCCTGAGTTCAAACAAACTGAGCTCCAACATTTTGAGTCTGTAAATGACTGCTCTTAAAACAGCTGCAACAATTCAGAAAGTCATATCTAGGCAACCAGTTCTCTTAGAACAACACAAACTAATTTCACACACTCTCAGACAAACCCCAGACTATGGTAAACCAAATTGCTCAACTACCCACCACAGTATAATTCTCACTTCATCAATGTCTGTTTCAGCTGTTTCAGCCCAGCCCCCAGTTTCTCCAACATAGAAACCCTTTTCTCCAGAAACACAGCTGTACTTTACACAATTGGCTGAGTGCTCAGACTTCTTCCTAAAGCGAACTACGTGTTTGACCAGCAGCCACTAACATTCCTGTCTGACCATGTACGTTGTGTTTTGGGCCTATTGAGAGGAGTGGCTCTAGTTCGGGCTGAGATTGTTCATGCTAACCAGTCAATTACTAAATCGTATTTTGATGTATTTGTTGCTTTGCTAAAAAAAAAAAAAAGTTTTTGATCACCCACACCATGGTAAA